GGGTCGGTCTCCCGGCCGGGGTAGACGCTCCACTTCCCAACATGGTACAGACCGCGGGTGGAGGCATCCCCGGCCCGGAGAGTGGCTTCCCAAGCAACCAGGTCATCGGCCTCCGCTGGTTTGACCTGGCGCTTCATTCTTTTCCCCCAGACGTTTTGGGCAAAAGGAAAGGCACCCGGGGGGAATTTGACGCAGACATATTTGTCTTTCCACTTCTTGTTGGAGGGTGGAAGACCACAAAGGAATGCTCGACCTTGGTGGGAAGACACCACCACGAATCCAAGGGTTTCCTTGGACCCGGGCCGAACATCGAACATATAATCAAAGAGGCGAAGAGAAAGAGGAATACGAAGAAACCGGCAGACGTTGATAAAGCTGCCTAACAAACGGTGACCATTAGGGGCCAGCTGCCCGGGCATGATCCCGTAGGTCTCAAGGAAAAGGACTTTGAATGGGTGAATAGAGAACTCACCCAAGTCCTTGATCGAATGGTAATGGATCCCAATCGACGTACCGGCATGGAGAGGTATAATGCTCTTCCACGTTGCCCGGTAGGTCAATTGATACCCATCAGGCATCAGATTACGCAGTTCGTGGACTTGGGGTTTCTGCATGTACGATGGTTGCTCTTGGAGCAACCTATCGTCTAGCTGAATGAGGCCCTTGTCCCCGGACTGGGCAACCGAGACCACTTGCGCCGCGGAAGAAGAGGGAGCGCAAGTGGAAGCATCAACCGGCTTCTTCTGTGGAGAAGTAGCCGGGTGCTCAGAGTCGGAGGATGAAGAAGAAGAAGAGGAACCAAAGGTGGGAGACCGGCCGCTAGAACCATAAGAATGAACGGAGGGGTTCTGACTATCCTCACAGTCTGACATGACTCAGAGAAGGAATGAAAGAAACTTACTTGGAGACGATTAGAAGACTCGGAGGACTCGGAAATAGTAGAAGCAGCCGGGCAGGTTTTTGAATGGAAGATTTGCAAGTGAGGAAATTCCAAGGAGAACGACGCTTTATATAGGAGAGATGCCGCCCCGACGGGCGAATGAAGAAATGACACGTGGCGGCTGAAATGATTTGCAATCATAACCTCTCGGGGAGACGAAACGGCACGTTAAATCGGCGGCTCTGTACCCGACTTCGAGAAGATTCTCCCGCTTTGGACCACTGTTTTTTGACAATTCAAAATTCAAAATTCAAAATTCAAATATTTTGGGTTGGCTCTGGTTTTCCGAGACGATTTCCCCGCCGAAAAGCGACTGGGCTGTTCAAATTCTAGGAAATGATCGCATGTGCTTCCCGCCCCTGATGGTCCCCACAGGACCGGGAATCGGAGGACTCCTTGATGGGTAATAACCCAAGGATACCACCCGGTTGGTTCACCGAACAGCACGCGTCTTTTTCAGCCCGGGTTATTTGACCGGTTGGATGAGGAGACCAGATGCCAATACCCGAAGATTTACTTTCAAAGTGCACCTGGTGGGCCGGTCAGCCGCCTGACCGGTTGGATAATCAGAGACGTGCTTGACGTGTTTAGGATTATTATAAATACCCTTAAAAGCCTCATTTGTATGGCATGTTTGAATTAACCTACACGGCTTGTACTTGTAATAACTCCTATTATCATTAATAACAAATCGGGTTACAGGTGATTCCACTTACAACCCTTCCGATTACTCACACTTAATATTTGCGTGGTAATTTACACTATCACGGTCAAACATTATTCACTTTCTTTACCTATTTTCATTAGGTATTTGATAAAATAATATAGTCTTGTCACCACTTGTTTTGTAGAACTTTTGATGTAGTTTTTAAATATATAAATTTTATTTTTTAATTTTACACCCACAATCAAATAAATTAAATTGAAAATAAAGTCGGCCAAACCTCGTAAAATGAACCGGGAAGAACATTATAGGACGGAGGGAGTAGTACTGAGTACAAAAATGATTTTAATATAAATCTTGTTTAGAACCTTTAAAATTTACTATTTTGTTGTACTAATATACAATATAAATTGAGAATAACTTGAAAGGAGAATTTACTTAAATAGTACTAAAACATAATAATTTGTTCTAAATAGCATCATACATGTTTTTTCCCAATGTAGTATTTTTAGTCATTATCCCATTTGATGGTGTAAATATAGCGGGGTGGGTTAACCGGGTTTGACCTGGACACACTCGACCCGTAATATAAAACACACAACAAGAACACAAAGTATGACCTAGACCGGGTAAATCTCCTCAGTCCGAATTATATTTCTTACTCTATCTCAAGAGTGAACTTTAGTGAGAGAAAAATTGGATCCCCTCCTCTATCCAATATCATCATATTTATAGAGGAGGATTTGTGACCTTCCCCTGTTCATCCATGGACAAAATAGGAAGCCCGNGGGTGGGTTAACCGGGTTTGACCTGGACACACTCGACCCGTAATATAAAACACACAACAAGAACACAAAGTATGACCTAGACCGGGTAAATCTCCTCAGTCCGAATTATATTTCTTACTCTATCTCAAGAGTGAACTTTAGTGAGAGAAAAATTGGATCCCCTCCTCTATCCAATATCATCATATTTATAGAGGATTTGTGACCTTCCCCTGTTCATCTATGGACAAAATAGGAAGCCCGTGGGAAGGTCACTGTACATAATCAATCTACTATTCAATCAATGAATTTAGCAACTACAAGCCAAGACATGTACTGTTCAATCAACGACTATAAATGGATATTCTCAATCCAATCAGCCCTGCAAAGTGACAAATGTTCCTTTCACTATTTGCCTCGTGAAGGCCGAACGGCGGGGTGGTCCCCTAGCCTTTGACGTTGATTGCCATTCCCAAGTGATGCAACCTTACCGGTCATCTTTCCTCCAAGGTTGTCCGGTCATGTCTTGAGTTCGACCCGTCTCTTTGGTTCTCTGGACTATCCTTCGTAACATGAAGTGACGAATTGGCTAACGCCCAAAATGTGACCGGTCACTTTTTTAGTGGAAGTGACCGGTCAACTTTTGACCCGTCCCAATCGAAGAGTTAACCTCATTTGGTGATTGATAAAAGTGACCGGTCATATTTGACCTGTCCCTTTCGGTTATCCGGGTCGGGTATAAGGATATACCCATCACCATTAGTCATTATTCAAGTAAATGTTCACCATCACTGGTCATTATTTCTCCTTCTGGATATTATTAAGTGTTATTTATGGAATAAAATAGTTTAAGTGTTATTTATAAAAATGAATTAAGTTTTAGTGCTATTTAGTGCAAATATTTCAACTTGAAACTCTAAGGTTGGCAAACTTGACTCAAAAATGTCAAATTTGACAAATACACTAGAAAAGAAGTAGTAATTAATACTATTGAACTTCTCTTTTGTCATGATGGTTACGTGAAAAGATACTTCATTGTAATCGAGTCAATAACATTTCAAAAGAATCATCTAACTATTGACTTTTGATGTTGAGATGGACATTCTTCTACTGTTTTTGACCCGGTTCTCAAGACGGTCCGTCTCGATTCGGCCATTGAAGATCGAGACTCGGGAACGTACGAGTCGCGGGTCGATGGTGTTGTTGTTGCTGGTTATGTTCTTTTTTATCCTAGCTACTCCGGTTACTTTGAAAAGCCGGGTATCTTCTTGGAGAATTTTTTTGTAAGGGAGTGTTACAGGGGGATTGGTCTGGGGAAAATGATGTTCTCTGCCGTGGCGGCGAAGGCGGCGGCGCTGGGGTTCTCCGCCGTGGATTGGCTGGTGGTGGGGTGGAACACGGAGGCGATTGAGTTTTACGTGGGAATGGGAGGCCAAATCATGCAAGATGTAGAGCGGTTTAGGTTGTCCGGTGAGAGGCTTTCAGTTATGCTGCGGAGGAGGAGCAAAGTCCAGAGACTGATGATTGTGGAATGGAAGCTTTAAAAATTTTAAAATGATATTTAGGTCAAATTATAAATTTTGATAAAAAATTATACTCCCTCCGTCCCATGAAACTTTTCTCCTTTCTTTTTTTTATCCGTCCCACAAAACACTTCTTATTTCTATTAAAAAGTCACTTTTACCTCTTACTTTTTCATACCCTAACTATCACATCATACCTTTTTACTAATAATTTATCCATCAAATCATACTTTTACCCATCACATCAAAGGACATTTTTGGAAATTCACTATCAAAATACACTCCCCTTAAATCTCTCCTAAAAAGCAAAAGTCTCATGTTTCATGGGACGAAGGGAGTATATTTCTCCAGTCTCAAAATAAGACATTTCTTCGATTTATAATATTTGGCTGAAGTTATTTTTAAATCAATATAAGAAAAAACAAGTACAAAATATGAAATAAAAAAATTATATTAAAAAAATACATGAAAAATTATACAAAAAATAAGTAATGATAAGATTAATTTATTTTATCAAATGATCGAAAAAAATGGATAAAGAAAGTAGAGTTGAGTTGACTTGTGAATAGTAACTAAGAGCTTTTTTAAAACGAAACAGTAAAATTTAATACGGAGTATGCCAGTTTGAGAAATATAAAAATTTTATAACATTTATTTTTTAGCCCAAAACTAATACTCCCTATAATTTAATCCACCAGAAATTAATAATTAGAACAATAACTTCAAAGTATAGCTTTGTGTATTTAGTGTTTGATTGAACTCTCTTTTCTCTCCATAGAAAAAAAAAATAAAACTCTTTTTAGTTTATAATTTTATTGGGTCGGTTCCAGTGACATTGAGAATCAATGTCATTGAATGACTCGGAGTGTTCCGGTGTCTCGTTCGTAAGATTGATTATTCCTTCGCTCCTAATTTCCTGGTAAATTCCCCACACAGCTCCAATCCGAACACACCCTCGTACAGTCCTACCTCCTTCAATTGCGCTCACAAGTTAATTTTGAATTTAGAGTGATTTACTTGGTAGGCTAGATTCCTATTTTGGGGGCTGGTGGGCTTAACAGTTTTTGAATGAATTGTATTATTTGGGCCATTTACTTTAGGCCAACCATTTTTTTAAGGAAGGCACACCATTTAATTATAATGGATTGTACCGCTTTGAAATGTTTGTGCTCTTGGGCCTATTAAATAATTATCCCTCAGATCCAATATCCAACTAAAAACTACTTAATCTATCACGAATAGGATGTCACTGTCACTATTACGGTTTCTCGATAACTTTTATTTATTTTCATATTTTCATTAATAATTTGATAAATTAAAATATCCTTGTCACTTCTTGTTTTATAAATTTTTTGATGTACTTTTAAATTGTATAATTTATAATTTTTATTTCAATACTAATTTGTAATTAAAATGATGGAATTTTGCACTTTATTTGAAATGTGGTATCCAATATAGGACAGAAGATTACTATGTATATTTTACTTTATTTCGTTGACAAGGGATATTCAATAAATTTGGAACAAAATTAATGTCAATTTGTGTAGTACTTTCATTAGTTTGACCTAAGAGTACATACAAACTATTTTCTCAGCCTAAAAATTTCTTTTTCAGTTTGAATTGACACAGACATTAAAAAATCTTTGATGTAATGGAATAAAGTGAATAACGTCGATAAAAAATGGAGGCCACATTCATTAAATTTAAGTTGCCAAAATAAGAAGAAAGTTTATTTTAGACGATCCAAAAAGGAGAGTGAGAATGAAATTAATGAATGAAGGAAGTATATATAAAGAATATTTCACGGTAAGCGTATTATGAAATCATTAATATACTACAGAGTAGTATATATTGCTATTTCTTGTTTTCAAATGATCAATGTTTCAATAATTTACATCGACTGTAGTAGAGGACTCAGATATTTTAAAATTTAAATAGTGGTGTCAAACTTTATTAAAGTTGAACGGGTCTAATTATCCTAAAGTTGAACACTTCTAATTGATATCCATGTTTATAGTATTTTTAATTTTTTTGAATATTAGTGAAAAAATTTTAAAAGATGTCTTATTTTTTTAAAATTTTAAAAAATGTTTTAAAATGTTTTTTAAATGTTTTTTTTTTTAATTTTATAATATTAATTGAAAATGTTATTATCAACAAAAACCTAAAACCCTCGTAAATAAAAAGGAAAACAAGGGAGCGAAATATCACTTCGGACTCGCCACTTCCATCACTACACAAACGAAACACAGCTTCTCGGAAAAGCCCTAATTCTCATTCAGTTCCGATTTCAATTCAATCTTTTGTTTCTCTACAGCGAGATCGAGCTCGGATTGATCGGTAATCGGAAGAAGAAACACTCAGAGATGATGGAAGAACACGGGGTCGAGCGGGACGGCGGCGGCGGCGGCCAGCAATTGATTCCGGAGGCGGCGACGGAGGCGCTGAGGAGAACCTCGAAGAACATCGACGACCTGAGCGCTAACATGGACCAGTTCCTGTCTCTCTGCGACGCGGATGCTCTCTCCCGATTGAACCCTCTCGATAGGGCCCACTGTCTGCTTTTGCTCTCTAAAGCCATCACCACTGCCTATGCATGTATGTATGGGAATGCAAACTGATATATGCTTTGGAATTTAGTTTTTGTGTCATTCCTCAGATTTTACTTGAGTTAATTTTTTTTTTTAAATTTTCTTTTTCAGTGAGGTTGAGATGCAAAGGAGTGAATCCAGATGACCATCACGTAAAGACTGAGATTGTGTGTTTTCTTATTTAATTCTTATCTTCTTCTTCCATAGTTGGATAACTGTTTTTTTCTGCATTATTCCAGTTGCAATTTTCAGGAGAGTTCCTAAATTTTCGAAGGCTGCATGCAAAATTTAAAATTAAGCCTCTAAAGTTTGTAGTATATAGGTTATCTCTAAGTTTTCAAAAAGATTGTTCAGCACATCAGGCCACCACTGTCTATTTTGGGGGTGAATATGTGTTTGTTGGGGTTCCATTTTGCTGCTCAATTTCCTCACATTCTGTCAATGGTCTTCCTTTGATTAAAACATTTATGAGTATTGTATGATTAGCATATAAAATTGCTATCATGCTTTGTTCATATCTTAAAAATGTTGGGTGGTTGTTTATTAACCTTTCTGCTGCTTTAAATGTTTTTTAGCAGCTGGAGATTTTAATTGTTGCTCCCTCCATCCATACAAGGGGTCATGTTTCAACAACTATAGCCAAATTTCAATCTTTCTTTATTGGTTTAACTGAATTTCACTCTCCTAATTTTCTGATATTTTTTTATATTTAAAATCATTAAATGTAATGAAAATTAGTTAATTTTATTTAGGTTGGATTTTTCTTTTGCTGATAATTTTTTTCTTCCAAACCGGGTTCTTTTTTTTTCACGGGGGGAATAAGTGTATATTTTTTATGTACTTTTAGTTAGTGGTAGATGTAGCAGAGTTATTATTTTTTGTTGGTGGTAGATGTAGCGGAGTTATAATTACTTGGTAGTTTTATACTCCCTCCGTCCCCCAGTTTTTGTCTACTTTCGACTTTTGGAACTGTTCATCTAAGCACTTTGACTCATCAAATTCTCTCAATGTGTAAGCCTAAATATAGTCATGTGTGATCTTGTTTAATTTGTCTTAACATATAGATTATTAATATATAATTTCTATAGTTTTTTAATATACAAATTACAAAATAAAATGGATTAAAAAAGTGCATTGGATGATATGTAAAAATGAAAGTGGACAAATACTCTAGGACGGAGGGAGTATGAGTTTTGTGCTTCTAGTGGAAACTTTTATGTTTTAACAGCATTTTGGCAATTACCATCTGATTGATTACATAATCCATGGGGTTTTAATGTTTGAATCTTTAAATCAATTTCTTTTTGCGCAATTTTTCTTCAATTATTTTATGACATCTGTGGTTTCGATGATCTTTCAATGTAGGAGAGGTTAAGCTTGTACCAAGTGAAAGTACAACGTTCTTTGGATTTAAGTAAAGGTACTAATGGAATGCTATCAATTATGCCGCAAAATCTACAATGTACAATATTGGTGTTTCAGAATGGGAAACGAAACATTTCCAGACTATTATTTATCAGATTGATGTAATGACAGCTCTACAAGATGCATTATTTAGGCTCTATTTGGAAACCTATCTGCCTGATTTTAATCTGCTGAGTTTACTTGGCTGAATGGATACTTAAAAAATGTCTTTCTTTATAGAAAAGTTGATGAATTCTTCCGAACTCTTGTTCCAAAGCAGCCTTTATTTTTCATAGTAGCACAATAAACATTAAACAGAATATGCAGCTTCAGACTTATTTGGCTGAAAAATACTTATCAAATTATTTTCCTTTCCTTCTTAGGAAACCCAACAGCTTCCCTTCAACCAAATAGCCCTTACTAAACAAGCCTGCTGTGCTCCCTAAATAGGAATGTACACATTACTACGAGGTTTCTCTAGCATTTGATGTATATTGGTGACTGATTTCCTTTTTCTTTTTTGTTAAAGCACCACTGCGCCCATCAGCCACAATAAATGCAAATGCAGCAGCTCGTTTTATTGAGCATTCTCTGCCTGACCTCACACCAGGTGAGTGATTGGCTTGCCTCTAGAAGGTATTAGATTTGTTTTTTGTTACCATTAATATTATTATATCAGGTCCATTTTGCAGAGCAGAGGCAGAGTATGAGAGACATCAGCAAAGGGGAGGGGGCGAGGATGAAATATTTGGAACGAAATATCCATAAGAAGAGAAAATGTCAATCGGGGGAAAAACAATCTGTTCGAGCTGCCACTCAGGAATTTCTTGAGAAAGCCAGCCGTGAGCTTCTAGGTGACAATAAAAGTGGATTTAAGGGACCCTTGCATCCACCTCAGGATTCTGATGAAGATATACCTATTGGATGATCCTCTGGTAGACTTTGTTTTTGAATCTCTAACTTTTATTATATTAATTCACGGCATTTTATTGTGGTCTTCTTTGCCCAGAGTCCATACTCTAACATGAACAACCAATAGTTGATATTTTATCTTACTCACACAGTCACACTTTGTGAGCCCCCACCCCCAAGTTGGCTCCTCCAAACTACCTAGTGGGCGAGTTCCAAAACCCAACATTGGACCGGACTATGACACTATGTTAATTTGGGCTTAGCTCACCTCAAAATGATCGTCAAAGGGTAGTGTTTTTCTCGTCCTTATATACTAAGATACCATGTTAATTTAGGTTTAACTTCTTCCGTCCCATAAAAATGTTCCACAATTTATGTGTGTTCCGAAAAAGGCTCTTTTGTTTTGGGAAATGAAATAGTGTGGTTCACACAATTTATCTCTCCCCTGCACAAAACAAAACCACATACTTTCACCTTTATTAATAATTGTGTCCAATCAATTGTGAACCTTATTTCGGGATGGTGGGAGTACTAGACTCAAACTTGTATATAACCGGTGTGGGATTCTCAACATATATTACCGACCATTAAAGCCTTTCCCTCAAGTATGGTATGCAATGAGGTTCCCATGGTTTTTGTGGCATATTGTTGAAGTCCATAGGACACTATTTAGGTGTTAAAGATGTGAGGCAGACTACATTTCATCTTTAATTCTTGTGCTTGTCCTTGACCCACCATTGATTTATCCTTCTTGTTTGGGTTGGTCTTGATGCACATCATTTCTGAAAAATGGGTACACACCCATATGTTTTTTTCCCAACGGGCCTTAAGCCAAACCTATCTCGTTATCATCATAGTTTGTGTTTGCCCAAATGATACTTTATGGAAATGATACAAACAGTTGAGCTTTTGTCATCTGACTAACACATGGTTGCTGATATACACTTATGCAGGATAATCCCACTTTTCTTGTTCTTGTGTTTGCAAGCGGTGGCATTGAAATGGGGTATTGCCTCTCTCGGCTTCTCTTTTTTTAATACTCCGTATTATTTTTAGTTGTACTTTCCTCTCGATGAAGCTGATGATCGCCACCCCCACACCCAAAGTAGTAGCATAGCAGGCTTTGTTTTTGTGGTTTTCTTTAAATGGAATGTGTAAATGACAGAAACCTGCTACTGTGTACTGTAGTATTAAAGTATTAGATGGGGAAGTGTTTTTCTAAGTTTGTAGTGTATTTTAAGACTTTTAAGCTCGAATACTCTCAAGTGTAAGTGAATTGTTTAATTCTTTCTTTGTACTATAGATTTTTCTTTCATTTGATCACTTATTCGTCTAGTTTGACTTCTAGCGGTCAAAGGGATTGGCATGAATCATCAATCCGTATTTCTCAAAATTAACTTGGGCTGCAATTGAAGGCAGTGGAAGGATGTGTTTGGGCCGGGGCGAGGTGAGGGTTTACTGGAGGGGTTATGGAGAACAAGAACCATCAATTTTGCGAATGTAATACTGGAGCATCCTTGGGTCTTCCCATCACATTGGGGATCAATGTCATGGAACCGGCCCTTAATTTTGCAGAGAATGTTTGTCTCAAAAGTCAAAATATGAAAAAAATATGAGGAGTAGCGTTTCATGTTAGTTGTTTGGCAAAATTGTATACTCCGTATTTCTTTTACAATAGTGTTTATCCTTGTATGTAATTTTTTTAAGTAAAAAAATATTCTATAAATATTTATTGCATAAATAATGTACATAGGATTGTTGATTGGTCCCGCAAATCAACACAAGTCTTTTTTGTGTATTTTGTCTTCACTAATACTCTCCTCAGAAACTTTTCAACCACGTTCACTGATTCTAGAATTGCTCAAAGTCAAACAAGTTTAATTTTGAAGTTTTTTAAGTGATAAGTTCTCGAAAAGAAAATATTTTGTTGGTGTAAATAGTACTATTGATCATTTTTTATCTCTTTTTAGAATATTTTTGTTTTAAAAATATGACTCTTAAAATTTTATAAACCCTGTACGGTTAGTCACTTTACACACGTTGCGAGCCACGCGTGGTTATCAACTAGTCAAAACGTTCAACTTTATCAGCGGTTCAAATGAACCCCTGACAAAGGATTCCGTAATGGATACGGAGTAACATTTTTTTAAAAATGTTTAGTCAATTCCAAACAATTCTAAACAACCCCAAACAACTCTATGTAAATTGTAAACCAGATGCTTATTTATTTGGCCATCCCACTCTCCAGTTTCTCCGTCCTCCGCCGAATGCACCACCACCACCCTTGCTCGCAGCAGGTAAGCTGAGCGCCTCCGCAAAATGTCGGTTTGTCCGAGCGCCCTCTTGTCGGCGAAGTTCTCCACCTTCAAGTCTGCAAATGATCTCAAAAGACCTAACTTTTGCCTCTCTTCCTCCAATTTCTGTGAGCTCTCTCCCAGCCCCCACCTTCCTTTTGTTGCTTGATTTCTTTCTTTTAATTAACACTTCGTTTCTGTAATATGCCTTTGAATTTGGTTCAGTTCATGATTTTTCAATCTGGGCAGTAAATATATTTCGTGTTTTCTTATATGATATGGTAAATGATCTTCCATTTTTTACTACCCAATCTTTGCTCCAAAGCGAAAGGGGGCTTTTTTTTTAAGCTCTCCATGGATTTGCCATTAGATAGAGGTAAGTTTTACTTCACAATGTTTTTGTTACAGGGCTATCGATCCTTCAAATATGTGATGTTACAGAGTACCAAATCAACTTAGTTTGGCTCATACAAACAACATTTTTATGTATCCACTCTTGTTTGCCCTACAACTTGTTATTACATATTATTCCGTAACCGTGCTCTAAATGTGTTGGGCATTCGGCGTTTCCTAGATGCTAGACTAGACCTTAATTTAGGAGAGGTCACATAGTTTTGAAAGGCGAGGCGAAAGGCGGGCGGCCAAAAGGAGAACTTAAGGCATACACACACATACATAAAATATATAGTGCAGTGCAATTAATAATGTCAATCCCAAGCAAGTCATACACGTTTAACAAAACAATTAGACTAGTTACTACATATGTTTCTCAAAAAACGAATACTTAATATATAGAAGTGTATTAAATATAATAAAGCGATGACTAGCTCAAAGCCTAATCGTAATCATCATCACTCAAAGCGAAACCCATATTTTCCATCCTATTTGATGGAATAAGAGGTTCGATATCAGTCTCATACTCATCATCGTGCTCCTCATCCTCGTTCACTAGGTGGAGGGTGCACTTCGCCTGCATTGTTGGTTTCGCAGAGGTACTGGGATTGCCTTATTGAGGTCTCCAAGTGTAGTAAACTGGTTCATCATCCCCAGAAGCTCTAGCAACATCACGCTCTAATGGTAGTGTAGCACTTAGGTGGAGCTAGACTGGGGCTGATGTTCACAAGGATGCTCTCAAGACCATGCACACCTTTAGAGTGAGGACCTTATAAAGGGGTCGTTCCTCGTTGCTTCTACGAATTGTTTGTTGGAATAGCTAATTAGTTTTTTAGACTTTCTCTTTTTCTCTCTTTGTGTGATGTGGCTTCTATGTCTATTTATAGCTTTGTTTCCTTCTTTTGTAAACAAGATTTGGACTCAATCAATTAGATGATTGCATAGAGAACAAGCGAAATCAGTTTGGCTCTGATACTATGTTGATTTCTATGCAAAACAGAAAAGGAATAGAGAGAGGAACGGGAAATGTGCAATCAGCTCATTGATTGAGTCCAAATTTTGTTTACAGAAGAGGGATATAAAGTTATATATAGACATAGAAGCCACGTCACACAAAGTACGAAAAAGAGAAAGTCTAAAAAACTAAGATATTCCAACATTGTTGGCTCTAAAAAAACCACTGCAAACCGTTGTTTCCAATGAGCTCCGATTTCGAGCTTCTGCTAAACAGTGTTTGAAGAAATAAATTGTGATGAAAATAAGGGGAATAGTTATTTTGTGCATCTATACATCCATTTCTTGATCGTAGAAGCCAAAAGCTAGAGTGAAAAACAATAATAGATATCCATTAACCGGTTTCCTAAGTAACTCATTTCAGGAAATTATCACCCGCGTATAAAAATGTGTAGTTAATTACGTAGTACCTTATTGACTGGTACATATTTATTACTCCCTCCGTCCGGGAATGATGTTCCCGGTTTGACTTTTCCTCATTTTTAAGAAGTATTGACTTTAGCATTAAAATGTCCAAAACACCCTTGCATCCCCACCACTGCCTAACCCCGTGCTAGAGTTTTAGCAGCCAGCCAGCCACCACCTCCCCAGCGTCCACCACCGGCCGCCCCGCCCTCTCCCCAGCCCTGACCGCCCCATCATCACTGCATCTGCCAGCCCCGATCGCCAACACCAGGATTGCCCCACAGCTACACCACCTCCGTCAACCCCCACCTCCATCGCACAATCTCTAGGAGAAAGAAAACGGAGAGGAGAAAGATGAGAAAAAGAAGATTAAATAGAGAATCCACAAATCTAGCATACATCTACCGTAGATCCACTGCTGCCTTAGCTCTCGCCGCCGCCATCGGGTCCACCATCGCCGCTAGACCATAGATCTAGAACAGATCTAGGAGGGGGAAGAAAAAAAGAAGCATGTGTAGGAGGACATGGAGAAAAAAGGTTGAGGAGGAGAAAAAGAAAAAGAGAAGAAAAGGAGGAGAAAAAGAAAAAGAGAAGAAGAGGAGGAGAAGAAGAAGATCGGGGATGGGGGAAGAACAAGTGGGAGAGGGAGAGAGATGAATCAGTTGGGGCGGATGAAAGAAGAAGAAAAGAGATTTAATGGGAGGGGTAGTTTAGGAAAAAATGTTATAAAAAGTAGAATGGGAACATCATTTCCGGACGGAAAAAAACGTACAATGGGAACATCATTTCCGGACGGAGGGAGTATATCATTGTTGGACTTTTTTTATAAAACAAATTTATAACCTTACTAGGTTTAAAGAAATAGCATTAACAAAAATGATGAAAATGAAATTAGGCATTAACAAGATAGATGATAACTTCAAACGCAAACATTGATATTTGGCTAACCATTAAATCCCAAAAAAGGTTTTTATTTCCTTTTTAGCATGTCCCAAAATAAGGTTCATCTTTCATTTAGAAAAGAATTGTGTAGTTCTTTTTTTTTGGGAAAGAGGCAAATATAATTAACTCATTGCCAGTAGGGAAAATCACCAAATGGAAATAAAGACCATCCCACATACCAACTACAATACCAAAACACACAACTTACAACAACAAAGAATACACAGGGATAGACCAAATGACAGATCACAACAGCCACGGAACATATACTTACACACAGGTTGGTAACCATCCCAAAAATCAGAGAGCACTCATATCAACCATACTCTTACCCCGAACCAGCTTTAGTTGGGTTTTAATTTGCTAAATCATAGTCTCCAATTTCAGCTGCCCCTTCTATATCCTCTGCATAAATCTAACCACAGTACCACACCTATATGTTGAGGACCTAGACCTACCAATGAGGACCCTATGCAGATTCCACTCTTATATGTTGAGGAGTGATGACCTATCAATGACAGTTTAGTACTTCGATTCCAACTTTGTGTTATGTTTGGTGGACAAGAGAGAAAGAAAGGTGTGAGAAAAAAAGATAAGGGTGGGTTTACGGCTTGCTCTCTTCAACTTATCTCATATGTTCTGATTTGATTAAGTTCTGATCTGATGTGATTGTAGTTATATTTAAAGCTCTTTTTGATCTGATCTGATTCCAATAAGAATAAGTAATAAGTGAAAAGAATAAGTTGAAGAGAATAAGCTCATATTATGTTGTTGGTAAAAGAGAATAAAGACAGAAAATGAAAAAAACAAAAAGAATTTTTTCTTCCCTGCCCTCCAAACATGACAAATGTGTCCTTTCTCTCCTCGCTTACTTCTCTACTTCCATAGCAACAATCAAAGCCTCAAGGACAACCTTGTTTGAAGTCCAAAATATGGAGAACAAGTCGTTAGTATTTTCTTTGCATAAATTGTAAAGCCTTTAGGAAATTATGTTATATCTTATATTTCTTTAGGGCGCTTTATGTCCTTTCTTTTCGTGAGCTCAATCTAAGTCTATTTGCTTCAGTGAAATATTGTTGTATTGTTGTTGTCTCTTTTATTTAATTCTGACTCTGAAGCATTTGGATGCCATTATTATTGTCACTTAGGTACATTAGGTCGGAAGATAGAACCTGTTTCCACCCCAATCTTGTCATTCTCAGATGGTCAGAGTAAGCAGACTAGGAGATCTTTGCGAGTACATGGATTATTTGGCGGTAAAAAGGGCAATAATGACAATGCCGACAAGATAGACAATGCATCAAAGGTTGGTTTTGTTCTCTTTTCAAATCAAAATGTGTTGTACTGCACATGATAGCTTTGACTTTTGTGCGTGTAAGTCTCAGCTACCATAGAGAGATGAAAATCATAGATTCCATTGGAAAAAAAACTGTTCAAACAATGACAAGAAGAACCTCATAGATGAGGAACAAAAAACATCTTAAAGCCTCTAAGAAAGTTGAATTTGATTGTTGTAAGACTCTTTTAAATTTCCAGGCAGGAATATTGGGAAACATGCAAAATCTCTATGAGACAGTAAAAAAGGCACAGATGGTTGTCCAAGTTGAGGCGGTGCGCGTCCAGAAAGAACTTGCAGCGTGGGTTTTCCCTAAACTTTCTTCCTACTTTCCTTTTTCGTCACCCATCTCTTTTTAAGGAAATCAATATGTGGTTCATACTATTTCTCCCTTCCAAATATTCCGTAAATCGTAACCACCTAGTTTACTTTTTCAAGTTTCGTTTCCGGCCAAAGCAGTTAATAAATTAAGGACAGAGGGAGTAATGTGTAAGGTGCTTATCACAAATTCACAATTCTTAAATGTTTGTGTCTGCCCCTTGCAGAGCAGAGTTTGATGGTTATTGCGAAGGGGAGCTCATTAAGGTATACTAGCATTCTTAACTCCAATTCTTATTTACTTTTTCAAGACTTATATCCCAAAGAGTGACCTATTTCAACCTTAGAAGCTAATTATAATCCAACTCAATGTAATTTTTCAAAAAAAAAGTTCCAAACAAGTTGATTATGTTAAATACTCCGTAAAGTCTAAAAAGCATTAAAAAAAATAAACTAAATTTTAATTAGGATTTATTTTTAACTATATTTTAGTGTGTTTTCAAGAAGTATTTGTTTAGTAAATATAAGTTTATATATTTGTTGGGAACACAAAAGTGTAAGTAGGATTTATGATAGCTTGGGTTGTTTTGAAAAAGGTAGGATGTTAATTCATCTCTTAAGAGTTAAGAATGATTTTGCTCTCAAATTGTTTGGATTTTTTAAATAAAAAAGATATGACGAAAGTTAGATTGGTTAAAAACTGGCCATTTTTGGGACACAAATATGGTCAAGTTTAACCCAAAAAATGATTTCTTTGTTGTTTGTTTCAGGCAACTCTGACTGGCAACCAGCAGCCCTTGCGGATTGAGATAACTGAAGCTGCAATGGGATTGGGAGCACAAGTAAAATTTCATCTCTTTCCCTACACATCTAACCCGGCACGCCTTTTCTGTTTTCTTTAGTAGGCTGAATATGATGAACAACTCGCGCGCATTCCCATCGGAAAAAAAACGTAACGGAAAAATCTCTCTTCTTTTGGTTGCAGAAACTCTCTCTTTTGGTTACTGAGGCATACATGGATGCTCACCAAAAAAGTGTACAGGTGAGAAACCAAATTCCTACTCATCTTTGGGATGCTTTACAACCACACCATTTAGTGGCGGATTCAGCCACTCGCACTGGGGGCACGCGCCCCCAATGAATTTTTTTATGCTGTATAATATTTTAAAAAAAATTGATAATTTATAAGGTCTGCCCCCAGTGGCTTCTTTTTCTGGTTTCGCCAGTGACGCCAACTCAATAAAATCCCGCATGAAGTAGGTTCTGTGGAGGGTGTGTGAGAAGTAGAGATGTTGTTTCGAAGAGAACCAATCTTTGGGATGCGTTTGGGCAAAAAAAATTGAAAGGTGTTTGGGCATTGATTAATTGAGCTTTTTTTTTGGGAACCAAACAAGGGCTAATGCATACTTTGTTTATTTTATGGAATGGCAGGGAATGAAGGAGAGAATGAGCAATCTTGCTCAAAGCTTAGGAATGCCAGAAGGCCTAAGTGAAGGCTTGAAGTAATTAAGTGATATATTTGAAGTTCTTTTTTTTTCATTGATTTTTTATTATTAAATGTTGACCAATGTATTTTTTTTTCTTATAAACAATACCATGTGTTTTTTTCTCTTTGAAAATCTGTTCAAACTTGTTCGAGAGAATATAAAAAAGCGAAAAAAAATAAGCAGAAACCATAAAGGTAGTGTTTTGAAATTAACATTTTGTTTCAATTTTGATATTTCAATTCCAAAATTTGAGTTTTTGAAATAACAAGACGTTAGATGAATTTGCGATTGAGCTTTGAAATAATTAGAGAGATCTGTTTCAAATCCAAATTTAGTTTTTTATATTTTCCAAACATGAAATTTGAGTCGAATCCAAAATTGAAAGCGCAAATTTCTGTTTTTTTTCTCAAACATGCCATGATAAAAGTTTAAATGCAAAACTGAAAGAAATGGGTGAATTGCCCTTGTGACACATTAAACTAATGAAGAAATAAATGAATGAATTATTACACCAGGCTAATCAGATGCATTGAGATAATCTATCCCAAATCCAAAAAAAAAGGAAATGAATCCCAAATAAAATTTAAAATAAAAATAGATCCCAAATACTTTTATTAAACCAGAAAGAACCCCAAAAGAAAACCCCCTCCAAGTCCCATAATAACCAAGCTCCTTTTCCCCTTCAATCCCACGGCTGCTCCGGTGGTTGGCGCCACCGCCGGACCACCATTTTGAGTCTCAGCAGAAGGGGAAGGCGCAGAAGCAGCCGGAGACAGTGCAGGCGCCGCCGCCGGCTTCCGCCAGTGCTTCTCCGACACAACCACCACCGCCAATTTCTGCCCCTTCTTGCAATTCTCCTCCGTCGCACTGATGAAGTAGTGTGGGCCTGACTGGCCCAGCACAGCCTTGGCGTTCGGCCCGCTAATGGATCTTATGGGCTTCGAGTTATTGCAGCTCTTGTAGCCCGATTCGTCCACTTCCAGCACCTTGTCCGCTTCCCCATCAAATTCCCACACTGCAAATTACCATTAATTATTTAATTAATTAATTTGATCAAAGTTGAAGTTTTGAATTGTTTTCGAAAAACACTTTATTTTAATTTCAGAAAATTCATACATTTTGTCTATATTTATCTTCAAATTTTAAAAATGATCAAGTTTATATATTTCCATCTCACATTATCAACTTATGTTTCCATTGAATATTAATAAAACTATTTTTTAAAAAAAGACAGTTTTACCCATTCACCTCTTCTTCTTGTTTTTAAAGATTTAAGATAAAACCTCTCGTAAAAATGGTTTCTTATAACCAAATGAAGAGTGAATTTAATAATAACTTCAGCCAAACAATTGTGCATTTCATCACCATTTTTCCGAATAAAGGAAACCGAAAATGTTTTCAGGAAAACATCCAAAAACCCAATGAAAAATATTATTTTAGATCAAAAAGTGAATTATTATTATTTAAAAAAAAATGAACATAATTACAGAGAGAAGTACTCTGTATTACCTAGAGTGTCGTTGACGGCGAAGCGAGAGGTTTCAGTCCAATTTTTCAGACAACCGGTGGACGAAAACGACAATTTCCAGCTACATTTCTTGCCTCCGACGGTAAGCATTCCAGCTTCCGAGAAGCTGAAGAAGACGGAGAAGAGAAGAAGAAGAGTGACTAAAGAAACCACATTTCTTGAAACCAGAGCCATTGTTTTTTCCAGAGAGATTGAATTCTTGGGACTGATGAATATAAAAATAGAAGAAAGATTTGATTTTGAAAAAGAAAGATAAGATTCAGAGAAGGATGGGAATGGGATGATGATGGTGATCTTCAAGTGAACCAGTGGGGGGTATATATATAGGGGAAGATGAAGGTGAAAAGTAGCCGTTGGATTCCTTTTTTTTAAGCTGAAAAAAAAAAGATTTAAAATTTAATGACTGTGGATGGGATATTATCTGTGTGTAACGGGCATAATGTTTGACCATTCAACGGTCAAGTGCTGGGGCGTACGTTAGTATGCTGCGTGCCCGCAACTACTAAACGTTACGTTTTCATGTAGATCCATTTTGAGTTTTTAATTTATTTTATTTAAATATTAGTAAAAAAATCAAAATAGAGTTTATATATAATCAAAAATCTATGTCAAAATATTTTTCAAGGTAAGAAATGACACGAATATTTTATTTTACTGAATAATAAATCAAAATTCACAAATAGACAAAAGTTTTTGTGACTTGAATATTGAAAAGTGTAATTCTTTTTATAAGAGAAGGAGTAAGTTATTAGGTCATCGGTTAACACTTTTGTAAAATTAATGATTCCTATCGGAAGTGACGCCTCTCCCATCTCTTCTAACTCTCTATGCCGGTCAGATCCGACCCAAATTGATTACTCTAAAATCAACTAAATTTTGAAACTGCAAATAAAGGGTTGCCGCCAATTCAGGTCGAGCTGAGAAGACATGCATGAACCATCAGTTTTACAAATAGGATCCCATACGGAGTATTAATATATTATCTCCTTCAAAAAAATATACTTACCACTATTTAAAAAACACAGAAATTTTTGTTTATTTATTCGTATTGAAATATTATTGTTTTAAATTCAACTTTACTAATCCGTACGCACACTTAAAATTACAGCAGTGGGCCGTGGCTCACCATCAAAGCAGGTGTCACTCAAACTGCTACACTTTGTTTAATTATTATGCCACGTGTTAAGCCATGCAATTCACTTCATCTCTTTCTTCATGCATACCCCTACACGTGTGAGTCGTGTGACACATGCATTATTGTAAGATTTATCCCGGTGATCGTCTGGCCGGGTTCGAGAAGGTCTTCGGAGATGAGGCTCATCCTTAGCTTTTTTGAATAATTTTTTGAAGAAGAGATGTCAAAGGAGATAAATTCGAGTTTGTTTACTGGAATTGAGGTAGATATAATTATGTTAAACATATAATTCGAGTCTGCTGTTACTAGCTGACTCTATTCTTCTCTGGAATAATTATTCATTTTTTTTAGTTTTAAAATACTTTTTAAATCCCGTAAAATCAAGACGTAAAACATATATATTGAAACAGGATATATTTCAATAAGATTTTTCTTACAATTATCGAACCTAGTTTTCTCAAACTTTTCAATTACTAACCTAAATAAAAAAAAGCCCCAATCTGATTGTATTCACTCAATTTAAATTAAATAGACACCTTTTATCTTTAAATATTCAAAAGAAGTGAAAGAAAAAGGTTTCTAGTATAGACAACTCCTAAAATTATCTTTAGATCTATTTCTTATATAAATGGAATGAATTCAATCAAATGAGTTGCATGTGGATTAAACAACACCTAAAAATTAAAACAAATACTACGAAGTACGTACAATTACGATTGGAGAGCTGAGAAAATCTGATTGGATCTCCTCCATCGCATATTACCCTTATATTCTGACTAATGCATTAATAAATACTACTCCCTCCGTCCCTAAATAAATTTCCCTTTTAGACTTTTTGAAGATTTAAAGGAGGAATATTTTTGTGTTGACTTTCCAAAAAATACCCTTGATGTGATGTGTAGAAGTAAGATTTGATACGTAGATTATTAGTAAAAAGGTATGATGTGATAGGTAGGGTAGTTAAAAGTAAGGGGTAAAAGGGTTTTTTTTAAGAGAAAAGAGAAGTTTATTTGGAGACAAAGAAAAAACGAAAGAGAAAAAGTTTATTTAGGGACGGAGGGATCAATATATAATGTTTCGGTTGGTCGTGCAAAAATTATTTGATACTGTATATTACAATTTCTTCTTTAGTATGAAAAAATGAAGATCGATATTATTCTGATGATACATTTCGTACAAAAAATTATTATTATTTAGTTGTTTTCCTAAATATTCGGGTTAAATATGGTTGCGGTTCTAGTAAAATAAGCGACTTTTGCTTTAATTTTAGTCCCGGCCCTTTAGAATATATTTTTTATTAAATTATCAATGTAAGATATTTATTTTGCAAATAGTTCTTTCACTATTTATTTTAATTAATGTTGAATTGTACCTGAGAAATAAGTACTAATTGTTTTGGTGCCTCTAAAATGTTTTAAATTCAAAGTGGGTTTTTTATTTTAAATCCTAAGAGATTAATTTACTCTAAATTGGTGGGAATATATTTTGTAAAAACAAACACTCTCGTATTTTACAGAGTTGATCTGATTAAAAAAAAATAATTTAGAAAGACCAAAAGTAAAAATCGCTCATCACAAAAGGACCAAAAGTATATTTAACGCTAAATATTTTTTTTTTTTGAAAACTAGAGTAACAAATAATTTCAATCCTTCATAGCCTGAAGCAAAGAGGAAGCAGAGAAGGACACGTGTCGGGAAATGTACACGTGTACATAATTCAACGCCAGCTGGAAGCCCATCCATAAATCAAAACCCTACCCCTTCTTAAAAGGTAACGAACCCTAATATTATTCTCATCGATCACTAATTTTGAGAAACGTAATAACATGGCCGACACACACAAGACGAATCCGCCGGAGGAGGTGAAGAGGAGCGGGCAAAACCCCGGTGGCGGTGGCGTTCTCCACCAAAGGCGGCAGCTCCCCTTCAGCCTCCCCACCGTCGCCCTCGCGGGCATCGCCATATCCGGCGTCCTTTGGTACTTCACTTTGTATGTCAAGAAAAAGCCGGAGGCTAACGCGGTCGACGTCGCAAAAGTTGCCTCCGGTGGCGGCGGCGTGGAAAGCACGCACCCTAGGAATTAGCTAGCTAGCTAGCAGCCCGTAGATAATAATTGTCTGTGAGTTTGTATCAAAATCAATTAGTGTAAAAAAGTTTCCAAAATATACGTACCGCGGAGTAATACTATATGTGCCTCCCGTATTATTAGAACATTAGTCTAATTTTAATTTTTTTCGATTTGAATAAACAAATTATCACAGGTAAGTTTTGTACAATATGTTTCCCTAAGTATTAACTTTTATATTTTAAACATCTTGAAAGCTAGCCCATATGATTTATTCTCGTTTCAGCTATAAGTAATTAACTGAATTTGAAAATCAGAGATCAATCATTTTCATCAAGCTTGAACATGTATAGTGACGAGCGTGTGATTAACGTGATCTTGAATCTAATGTAAAGGAAACATTGATGCAACGTATTTCTAAATTCAAGGGAATTCTGTGTAGTTTTTAAAGAGTTCGGAGTCAATGACAGAAAAACTCAATCAATTCAAAATTCAAATGAAAGTATTTGGAAAAGTCTAAAAGGATGGTTGCATGAGATATTAAATCTTTAGCTATTTTTCAAAGATATATAAAAAGGTAGATATATATCTAAGGGTTGATTGGTGAGTTTTAGAGTTATGACATTATATGAATTTTCTAAATTGAAAACAAATGATATGTGATTTAGAATTTGAAATAAAATTGTTCAAAAATATTTGAAATCATGATTTAATTAGTGATAGCAGAATACTCAGAAATGAGATGGTTGACGATGATAGGCAGTGATATTTATTGGAAATATCAAATTCTAATATCTTTCAAATTCAGACGATATCAAAATTCTTTTTTTGGAAGATTTATGATATTTGAAGATGTCAAATCTAAATCTATTTAAATTTTATCAAACCCTAAAAATAAATATTAGAATTGATATTTTTTTTGGCCATTGCTCATCAATGCAATAACGGTCTCGTTAGAAATCATCATTAGAGATTAGCGTTAGCGTTTTGAAATGACTATCTGACGATAGTCTTTAGCATTTTGTGAATTAAACTACACCATTAATATTTTATCTAAAATACTAGCACTAATTGATGAAAACGTTTTTTCGGCCAACCTCTTCAAATATCAATTACGAAGTATCCAATTCTCTCGCTTTGGGACACGAAGAAGTTGCAAAATTTGGGCTAGCCGGAATTATGAGAGCAGATATCCAAATTATCCTGTAGCCCATCTTCTGAGAAAGCGAGGAATACGAAGGCCCATATACTCTGGCTTTCCCGGTCGAACGCTTTCGCCGGGAAACACTTTTGAGTTTTAACGGCACGCATCGGGGTGAAGCGGCGGAAACTGCCGGCCGGCGGAGCTCACAGCAGCCTGCCTAGTGAAGGCGACCAGTTTAATTTCTCGACCTTTCATCTCTTCAGCTCGACTGTAAAAGAGGATTGAACAAAACCCTAGAAGACCTGTCCTGCTCTCCGGTTCCATCTCTTTGTTCTTCGGCAAGCGCAAGGGTAGAAGAGAGGGGAGGAGATAATGCCTAGGGAGATCATCACGCTGCAAGTGGGACAATGCGGGAACCAGATCGGAATGGAGTTCTGGAAGCAGCTCTGCCTCGAGCACGGAATCAGTAAGGACGGCATTCTCGAAGACTTTGCCACTCAGGTTCTTATATCTCATTTCACTTTACCTACTTGCATCCCAAAACCTGTGAGATTTGTGAATCTATAAATGAATGTGTGCTTTTTGAATTGTGGAATTTGCCGTGGCGCAGGGAGGCGATAGAAAAGATGTGTTTTTCTATCAAGCTGATGATCAACACTACATTCCAAGGGCTTTGCTGATGGATTTGGAGCCCAGGGTCATTAATGGTATACAAAATGGTGAGTACAGGAACCTTTACAATCATGAGAATGTGTTCATTGCCGATCATGGTGGAGGCGCTGGCAATAACTGGGCAAGTGGATATCAACAGGTTCGTCTTTTTTGTTTCTCTTCAGAATAGATTAGATATCCTTTTCAGGTGCACTGGTTGTATAAACGAAATGATGGCATGCTTTGTCATTTAATGAAGACATGAATGTGCGTGGGAGCAATAGGTAGGAAAATCTTTTGCAAAAAGCTATTAAACACATCCAAAATAATGGGGATTTGGGTAGTAAGTGGAAAGAAAGAATCATATACCCTGACACTTGTATTCTTTTGGCTATGGAAAATGAAATTAATGTAATGATCAATGCCTACCTGCATATTTATTGTGTTATAAAACAGGCCTACAAGTTTTCTTTCCTTGTAAGAGTAAAAATGTGTGTAGTGACACTCGAGTGTGTTCAATGTTTTGTAAGCATTCTAGTTAAATGCATGATTTCCCCCCCCCCCCAATAGTTGTATTTTCTTCTACTATAATAGTTTTACAAGAACTTATTACTTTTTTTTTGTTGTAGTGTCTGCTCTCTCCAAAAAATCTTCTTTTCTTGGTAGAAAAATACCAGCTTGTATCCCATTGACAAATTGTGTTTGTTTGTTTGTTTGTTTAGGGAAGTCAATATGAGGAAGACTTAATGGACATGATTGATAGGGAAGCTGATGGAAGTGATAGTCTTGAGGGTTTTGTTCTCTGTCACTCAATTGCTGGTGGAACTGGCTCAGGTTCTGTCTCTTTTGTCAATTTTGACCAACACGTGATTCTTGTTTCTAGTTATAAAATACTAGGAGAAATAAAAAAGTTCTAATTAGTTGGTAACTTATTTTTTCTTATTGTAGTCTCACAAATTACAAATCCATTGAGCTTGGTTTAATTTTCATCATTATCCGTTCTTCTTATAGGTATGGGCTCATACCTGTTGGAGACTCTTAATGATCGCTATAGCAAAAAACTTGTTCAAACATACAGTGTATTCCCAAACCAGAATGAGACAAGTGACGTGGTTGTTCAGCCATACAACTCCCTTCTCACACTCAAGAGGCTTACACTAAATGCTGATTGTGTTGTAGTTCTTGATAATACTGCACTCAATAGAATAGCTGTGGAGCGCCTTCATATATCGACTCCTACGTTTGCTCAAACAAATTCTTTAGTCTCTACTGTGATGTCAGCAAGCACCACAACTCTGCGATATCCAGGATATATGAATAATGATTTGGTTGGCCTTCTTGCTTCTCTAATACCAACACCAAGGTGCCACTTTCTGATGACTGGATATACTCCGCTCACAGTGGAGCGTCAAGTAAGATTTATAATCAAAATCTATCTGTGCATGCCCGCCCAGTAGAATCATTAGCGGTAATCTTTTATGCATGATGTCTTTCCTTTCGTAACCTTCAAAAGAAGGATTGTGAAAATGCTCCATATAGAGTTTATTTGGAAAATATGAGTTTCTGATTGCATTATGGGTTTAAGAAAAGATGTTAGAACCTTTAAATTAAGAAAAGGCATGCATTTCCATGTATTAATACCAAAGATAGGCTTGCGGATCTAAGTAAATCGCACTAATAGTCTACATTCTTCTATTTTTTTATATTTATTGGCATTGTTTGATGTGTTATCACTTGATTAAAAATAAAAAAATCAAAAACTGTGGGAGAAATGTCTCAAGTTCATATGAATTGAAAGACGAATGTGTTGGGAGAGATGCAACATCTTTTCTGTTTTGGAAGGCAACTGTTATCTACTTTTATTTAACGTGCACTTCTTCTCTTTTGGCTCTAAAGCCTCTGCACTTCATGGATTCTGATGTATGTAATTCGTATCACAGTATCAATAAATTCGTGCTATACTATTGTCAGTGTGATTATTGACATTTATGCAACTATTTATGCAACAGCTGGATGTAAAGTAAATAAAGTATAACTAAAAGAACTACTGTCAATGGCATTCTAAATGGGCATACTCTTTTTTACAGGCTAATGTAATTCGAAAGACAACTGTTCTTGATGTGATGAGAAGGCTTCTTCAGGTAGGGCAGAAACCTCATCTGTTTTTCTGCAAATAATGAACTTCAAATATAAAAAAACATTTGTCTTGCAGACAAAGAACATCATGGTTTCTTCTAATGCTCGAACAAAGGAAGCAAGCCAAGCTAAGTATATATCAATACTAAACATCATTCAAGGTGAAGTAGATCCGACACAGGTATTTTTAATTTTTATGCTATACATATCAGTCATTTGTGCTATAGCTAGCCAGTTACAGTGTACTTGAAGTTATGTAGTAAGTAGTTACTGTTAGGTTGCATGATCATAAATCATCTCTTAAAAGTGGTAATTATGTAAGGCCTTTCAAAGTTCTATGGACAATAATAGTACATTAATGAACCTATTCTTTGCCCATGGACCCTTAAATTTTAGCCTCAACCCTTGAAATGATCTCTTTAACGAGAAACTTTGGTCATTGACCCTTACATTAATTTGTCTGGGGACATCTCAGATATGCTATGACCTTTTAAGAAATGATTTCTTTAGCTTTGTCGGTCTTTTTTCATATATCTTAATCATAAGTATCTCTTTGAGCCTCTCTCATGCATATTTATGAAATGGGATATTTGTTGAGGTTTAGGTTTTATATCAAATGGAATCATTTTGCATTCATCACAAACCTTACTGTCCAAAACCAGGTCCATGAAAGCCTGCAGAGAATTCGTGAAAGGAAGCTTGTCAATTTTATTGAGTGGGGCCCTGCAAGCATCCAGGTACGCCTTTTTTTAGCACATAAGATTTTGTTGTTTGTTTTATTCACATTGAACTGAAACTTATCAAAGACTCATCTTTGTTGGTAGGTTGCTTTATCAAGAAAGTCACCCTATGTCCAAACTGCCCACAGAGTAAGATTTCGTTCTCCAAATATTTAAACCTTACCAAGTCACAAACCTATCATGTTGTTTTAGGCAATTAGTACAACCCCCCCCCCTCCTGCCCCGCAATGAGCGGAAGCCTTTTAAGTTTTAAGCACTAGGGTAATGTTTTTGTTGTTGTTTGAGACAATTAGTATTATTAGCCAATTAGCACATTATTTTGCAAAATTCGTATGCCTTCCATGTTTGCTTCTATGACCTTTTGGAGTACTTGAAAGCTCAAGGATTGGTAAATGTGTTCAATACTTCAATGTTCATTTTTCAGAAGGTGAAGTTTGATAATGCATTCCTTCTTAAATCTGTTAGGTCAGTGGGCTTATGCTTGCAAGCCACACAGGCATCCGTCACTTATTTACCAAGTGCTTGA